GCCTGGCAGCAGTCCAGCACAGGTTCGTGCAATGCTGATGTGTGGCTGTGCTGGCAGCAGCCTCCAGACACAACAGTTTACAGGCAGGAAAAACTTTCCATCCCTCCACAGCAGTTATGGGAGAGCTGGGACCTGCACCCACACCATGGGGAGCCCTGGTGTGGGGACACTGCCAGCTCAGCCTGACCCCACAGAGGGACCACTTGCCTCCATCATCTTTCAGTCACCAGACTGCTCCTGCCTCCACAGCAGTGAAGGTCCCTCCATAACTGGGGGCATCCCCTTCATTTCGGGCATCCTAAGATCTGCTGGCAGAGAGGGCAGCTCATTGGTCACAACTTCATCCTGATGTCATACTTTGATTCCTTTTGCCACAGGGATGTGGCCTTGGGCAGCAGCAGGATGGAGGGTGCTCTAAGCTGTCCCCTCTGGCACAGAGGAGCTGGGAGCCTTGTGTCTGTTTATTTTGTGAAGTGTAGCCTGGAAGACTGGCATGGCTTTTTCCCACCCCAGGCCCACCAGGGGAGATCAGCAGGAGATAAGGGCTGACCATTTCCTACCCTGGTCTATTTCGTGGTCTCTTGGGTTGCTGGGTTGTCCCATGGAGTGGCACAAGTGCTCCCCAAGGTTGCATTGAGTCCCCCTGTCCCTCTGGGCTCTCCCTGAGCTGACTGGTGATAGTGGCCAGGGGTCCTGGGCCCCTTTCCAGGGGTGTTGGGCTGGGTGGCTGAGTGCCACATTAGGGAGCTGGCGGTGGCTGCTGCTGGAACACATTCCTGGAGCGTGTCCCAACTAGCCCCTGTGGCAGACAAGGCTCCCCCTCCAGGCTCTGGCCAGCTCCTCTACTCCTCACCTGCCTCAGCAGTAGCCCCCTGCTGCTCCTCTCCCCAGTGTAAAAGTGCTGTGAGAGGTGGCTTCTCCCTCCCAGCAGCCCCAAAACTGTCCCATGCATCCCCACTAGCTGGGGATGCCTTTGTTGTACTGGAGTGAGGAGCACTGCAGGTCCACAGTAGGGCCAGAAAACTAAAATCCTGTGAGGGTTGTGCTGAATCCCAGCCCATGTCAGATCAGCACCAGAGGCAGTGGCTGTGGTGGGTGGAGAGGGTGGGCAGAGGATGGGGGCAACAAGCCCCACAGCACCACGAGTGCAGCAGGCTCTGTGTCTCACCATGATGTGTGACTCATCCCGTCCCAGAGAGCTAAACCCTCACCTGGGGCTGAAGATTTCTTTCTTGTTTCCCACAAAGGCAGTAGTGAGGCCTCATGCCTGGCAAGCATGGGCAGGGAGAGGCTCAGCTCCTGTGCTTCCCTTGTGCACACTCAAACTGGGGGGCTCCTTTCTGTGGGGGTGGCATGGCCCCTGTCAGGCTCAGGGTTGGTGCTTCCCTGGGCAGTGCCCTGCAAAGACCAGCCTTGTGGAGGTGTCCTGGAATGTCTCTTGATCTGGCCAGAGGTTGAGTATCATTTGGGAAGCAGGTTGGCATGCACAGGTGAGGAGCTGGGGTCAGGGTCAGCCCTACAAAGTTTGATCAGTATCAGTGTAGAGGAATCAGCAGGCTCTGGGGCGGAGCCAGGTGGAAGATGGGGAACCCCAAGTCTGGGCTGTGGAAATCACTAGTGGCTGGGCTGCCAGCCTTCCAGGCTTTGAGAAGAGCTTAGACTCTTTCGGGATGTTCCCGGAGGGACTGGCGTGCAGCGGCGCGGGGGTGCCCGTGAGTCACTCACACCTGGTGCTCTCCATCTGCACAGGCAGGACCGTCCCGCGCCGGGGGCCGCAGATTCCTTCCCTGGTCCTGGTATGCAGAGGGAAGCTGGGAAACACCGCGGAGGTGGAGACACTCTGGTTTGGGGGACCCGGCACCCCTGTGTGCCCCACTCCAGTGCACATGTAAGGGGAATGCTGCTGGCAAGGTGGTCAAGATGCTGCCAGGCTCTCCATGGGCGACTGGGGTTTGGGGACCACCCCAAAGCAGTGCCTACCCCAGTGCTGGGGGCCGAGGTGGTGGGCAGAGCCTCTGGCATGGCTGTGAAATGTCGCTGCCCCGGTGCCGCTGTCTACGGTGCCCGCTGGGCGATGCTCGCCCCGGCGCTGCCCCCGTTCACCGGGTGACCCCCAGCCGCCCGTGCCCTGTCGCCGGCACCGCGCTGTGGGGCTGCTCCACCAGCTCCGGGCCCGGGGCCAGCCACAGAGCCCTTGGCAGGCCCCTCCGCTCCCTGTTTAACGAAGCCCCTTGTCTAATTGGGACAGGCCGCCCTGTCTTCATTAAACGGGCTCTGGCGGGAGGAGGGTTTAGGGATGGTCCTGACCTGAGGATGCTGGTGGACTCACGGCCGGACTCACAGGGCTGGGGCGGGCAGGGGGAAACCTGTGGCCACGGCAAACTTCGGAACCCGCCCACCAGGTTTGGAGGCCAGGGCTGGGGTCTAAGGAGAGGAAGGCTAATGAAGAGGAGGGGATTCACTGCTTGCTGTGCCTTTAAGAAGAGCGAGGGCATCGCCGCTCCTCCCCTGCCTGGGAACAGCTTGTGCCTGGGAAAGTTGCCTGCAGCCGACCCTGGAGCATCTTTGCTTGGTGGCCGGTGGCCCTGTCCTGGGCCCCCAGCTGTGAGGTGGCCCTGGGCCCCAGAAATCCCCACTGTTGCTCCCCTTGCTGCCAACAAGAAGATGCTCCTGGACCTGACCATTGCTCTACCAGGAGCCGGAGGGGAGCCCCTGGGCCAGTGGCCAGGAGGGCACAGGTATGTGAGGTGCTGGGGACAGGGGACTGTGGGCTGACCATGGGGACAGGATAGGTGGCATGGGGTGCATGGCAGGTTCCTTGAGCCAGAGTCAACCCCAGGTGAGCACGGGCACCAGTGGGGAGGATGAGGTGCTATGTGATGTGCCCCAAGGAGCAGTGTGGTCCCACAGGTGCCCTGGGGGTCAGGAGCACCCTGAGGGTCAAGGGTGCACCCTGGACTGAGGAGGAGCCTCAGGAGACTGTTCCACCAGTCACAGGATGGGCAGGAAGTGAGACCAGAGCAACATGAGGTCCCTGCCTGCCTTGCTGGGCATCTTCTCCCTTTTGCCTCCTCCCAGCAACTGCAGCCACATCAGCAGTGGCTTTCCAGCAAGTTTCTCCAGCTCTGGGGTAGGTCTCAGCCACAAGGCTGCTGTGGGATAGTGTTTTGAGCAGGGCAAGATGATGTTCCCACAGCTGACTCCAGTGCAGTCCCTGTACTAGAACCATGGGTGCTAGGGCCTCACATGATGGGTACCCCCGAGCTGTGTGTGCAGGAAAGATCCTGGATGAGGCTTGGGTGTCCTGCAGCCTCGTGGGAGCTGTGCTGGCAGGGGGACAGGCCTTCACCACCAGTGTCCTTCCCAGGGCTAGTGCTCAGAGCCAGGCTTTAACCCAGATGGTGCAAGGGGCTCAAGTCAGTCCCTGTGGCAGTTCCATCCAGCTCTGCCTGGGGACAAGCCTCAGGTCTCAGCACACATTCCCCTGAGATGGACGGATGGATGGATGGATGGATGGATGGATGGATGGATGGATGGATGGATGGATGGATGGATGGATGGATGGAAGGAAGGAAGTCGGTGGCCAGCTCCTGGCTGGCAGGTGCCAGAGCTGCTCACCGTCCTGGAAGATGCAGATACTGGAGGGAAAATTGCCTTGAGCCTTAACTGGACCCCACTCAGCCCCTCATGGAGGTCTCGGTGGCAAATCCAGCAGCAACCGTTCCTGGGTGTCCCGCCTTCTCCTGCTCCATCCCCATCCCGGAGCCGCTGTGCGTAGTGCAGCCGCGGGGCAGCCCAGGGTGGCACTCGAGCGGTCAGAGCCTGAGGAGCGGCTTTCTTTCCTTCCTTCCCTCTCAGGGGAGAGGCTGGGAAAAGCCCTTTGGGAGGCCGGGCTGGGCGGGGGCCGCGCCGCTCCGCTCCCCCCGGACCGTGCTCCGGGCCGCCCTCCATAAAGGGGCGGGAGCGCCGGGGGCCGGTGCGCGCCGGCACCGCCTGCGCCCGGCACGGCTCGGCACGGCTCGGCACGGATCAGCGCGGAGCGGTGCGGGACGGAGCGGCCCCGCGGGGGCGGTGGGTGAGCGCGGAGCTGGGGCAGGGGTCCCGCCGCGGGTTGGGGGCTCAGCGGGGCAGGACCGAGCATCCGTGCGAGCACCCGTGGGCACTCGCTCACCCTCCCGTGGCGGGGCTCGCACCGCCTGGGCCGGGCTGTGCTTGGGCTGGGAGCCGGCGTAGCCATCGAGGGGGTGTCGGGCCAGGTGCCCTCCGCCGCCATGGCTGGCAGACAGGGCTGCCCACGCCGGCTTCCCGCTGCCCTAGAGCACCTTCCTGGGGCGGGAGGAGCCCCTGCGGGCGAGGGGACCAGGTGAAGCACGGCCGGGGTGCGCCGCTGCCGATGCTGTGGCGCGGGGCAGGGGAAGGGGTGGCGGAGGCAAAAGCCGGGCTGAAGTCGGGCTGTAGCCCTGTATCCCCCGCACCGTGGACAGCCCCACCGGCTACTCACGGGCCAGCTGCTGCCCGCCTGCCCCGGACCGAAGCGGGGCTCTCCCCGCTCCGTGGGGTGCCTGGGATGGTTCTGGCATCCTGCCTTCCTAACGCTCCCAGGCGTTCTGGCACGGCTGGTGCTGGGAACCTCCCGGACAGCTGTCCCCCAGGCTTGGGGCTAGTGTAAGATCGTGGTGGCAGCATCCTATCCTGCAGGCTCCCACGATGAGCAGCCAACTCCTGCTCCTGGCTGTGCTCCCAGCACTCCTGGGTCCTCCAGCTGCCGTGGCACAGAAGAGGAGCCAAGGTGGGTGCTGAGCATTGTGCAGAGAGGTGCACACGGTGGGTGGGACAATAAGAGGGCTTCAGCACCAATGTGCCACAGTGCCAGTCTGTGCCCTGAGTGCTGTCACTGCTCCGCAGCAGTGTGCGAGGATGTGCTGCAGGCTGACATCGCCTTCCTAGTGGATGGCTCATCCAGCATCGGAAGGAACAACTTCCGTGCTGTCCGCACCTTCATGGACGAGCTGGTGGCGCCCTTTGTGCAGGTGGTGGGTGAGAAGGCAGTGCGCTTTGCCGTGGCACAGTACAGTGATGATCCACGGTGAGCCCAAGGGAGGGGGCATGTGGGGTGCAGGGTGGCAGGGCTGGGAAGTGACAGTGTCCCCCTGCATCCCCAGAGTGGAGTTCCCATTCTCCCAGCACACAGATGGTGCAAGCGTCCGGAGGGCCATCCAGCAGCTGAGCTACAAGAGTGGCAACACGCGGACAGGCGCTGGCTTCCGCTACATTGCTGACAACTTCTTCGGCCCCACGCAGCGCCGGCCTGGGGTCCCCCAGGTATGTACAGAGCAGTGGCCCTGGCAATGTGGGGAGAAGTGTCAGGTCCATGGGCCTCATGCTGGATCCCACAGTTCTTTCCTGGCCCCGCAGATCTGCATTCTCATCACGGATGGCAAGTCCCAGGATGATGCTGAGGGGCCAGCAGCAAAGCTGAAGAGCCAGGGCATCAAGGTCTTTGCCGTGGGTGAGTGAGGCTTCTCCACCATGTGAAAGAGTCTTCTGCTTGGTTCAGGTTCCTCCCTCACCCATCATCTCCCTCTGTCGCAGGTATTAAGAATGCTGACCACAAAGAGCTGATCCGTGTGGCCTCAACACCTACTGAGGCCTTCTTCTTCTACGTTGGTGATTTCAAGCTGCTGGACACGCTGGTGCCACTGATGACACGCAGGGTGTGCACGAGTGTTGGGGGCACCCTGCGCCTGCTGGGTATGGCCCCCTATCCTCCTCCCTGAGGGGCACAGGTGCTGACAGTGCTGGGTGACAGAGCATGCACCCCTAGCATCTGTCCCGCCCCCAAAATGACCTCCTGGCTATCCCATCCCATTGGGCACACATCTGTGCTGCCCCAGCAAGATCTCCCCTCTGCTTCATGCACCGTGGAGCCATCAGCCCCTGTGCTACCCCACAGATGGGCCAAGCCACACTGGCCCCTCCAACCTGGAGATCCCAGAGGGGGGCCTCGACCATCTGCGGATCCGCTGGAGAGCAGCCAGTGGTCCCATCACTGGCTACCGGGTGCAGTATGTGCCACTGACAGGGCTAGGGCAGCCCATCATGGCAGAGAGGCAGGAGGTGAGTGCCCCTACATGACTTCTCAGAGTTCCTGGGGGTTCCTGGTGCCTCCATGTGTGACCTGGGGAAGATGAGGGGGTGACATTGTTCTTGTCCAGGTGAGCGTGGGACCACGGGAGACAAGCACTGTTTTACGGGGACTGCGTGTTGGGACAGAGTACCTGGTCACTGTCACTGCCCAGTATGCCAACAGCATCGGCGAGTCAGTGTCTGGCCGAGCACGAACCCGTGAGTGTCCATGTCCGTAGGGACAGGGGTGAGTGCAGCATTGGGTGCCCACAGCACATGGGGCTGGGCACTCATCCCTGCTTCTGTGTGCCTCCAGAAAGCCGTGCTGGCTCCATTCTGGATTTTCGCGTGGTGGAGACTGGACCAACCTTTCTGCGGCTGGCCTGGCGGCCTGGCCCTGAGCCCCCCCAGGGCTACAGCCTCAGCTATGCTGTGCAAGGTGAGGAGATGGTCCCTTCGAGGGCCGGTGCTGCCTTTGTGCAGCCCCCAGGCAGAGGGATGCATAGATGAGTGTTAATGCAGGGATACGTGCCCAGAGTGCTGTGGGTGTGTATCCACCCACCTTCTCCACGGCAGCCGGCACGCGTGCACTGGGTGTGGGGCGCGTGTGTGTGCAGAGGCGTGGAGGCAGCCTGTGTATTCCTGCACCCGGAGGGCTTCATGTGAACGGCTCAGGGTGTGTGCTTGGGCTTGCACAATGGCTGGGGGCCTGGCTTGTGCCCCTATGGCTGCTGCACATGGGGGGCAGGCAGCAGACCCCCGTCCCAGCCAGGGATCGGGCTGGAGCCACACACCTGGCAGCCCCACCCTGGCCTCAGGTGCTCCAAGGGGTGCCCCTGGCCCATGTCCCAGCCTCTTCCCGGTGCTCCCCACCCCTGGCACTGACTGGCATCCTCAGGGCAGGGTGCAGGCTCATAGACACCCCTTCCCTGCTGGGCCTGGCGTGTGCCATGTCCCTGTGCCCCCCACACCCCTCCAGGAGCACCTCAAAGGGAGGAGAAGAGCCTGACGGCCAGCGCACAATCGGCCACGCTCAGCAACCTGCAGCCCGACACCGAGTACGTGGTGATGCTCCGGCCCCGCTATGCACAGCAGCCCGCTGTCCCTGCCACCCTCACCGCCCGGACACGTAAGTGCTGTGCCCAGCCCTGGGCCCTGCTGGGGTTAGGATTGGGTTCCCAGCACAGGGATACTCCCTTCCTGTCATTGTGCCCCATTGGGATGGGGCTGCCTGGCCCATTGCTGCCTGTGGGGGGTGGTGTGGGGATGCAGGTGAGCATGGCTACAAGGTGATGTTCTGAGCCCCAAAAGTTGCTTCCAGGGCAGGATGCAGCACTGTGAGCTCCCGATTTCCTTTGCAGCCTTCTGGGAGTGTTTCCTCCCATGACGTAAAAAATGTTGACTGAAAAAATGCGGGTTTGAGTACAGTGCTCTGTGGGAGGAAAATGTGGTTTCCACCGGGGCAGAGGCTGTTGGAAAGCATCTCGGGGTAGGAGTGGGGATGAGGCTACAGGGCAACACCTTTGCAAGCATCAGATTTTGGCAAACCAATTCCTTCAGCTGCCCCAGGCAGTCTTAACCCACAGAAAGTATTTAAGGCATTAAGAGGAAGACATTTGAGCTCCATTTTGCATGAGTTTGATGCTTTGAAGGAGCCACCTGAGTGCGGGCTGCACTCAGTGATCTCAATGTGGTTAGCATCCGTGAGCAAGGGCAAGGGACCTTCCTGGAGATGGTGATTTGCAGGTGGAGGTTCTTCCTGCTGTCCCCTGCCCCATTCTTATGTGGGAGAGGGACTGTCACCTCACTTCCACAGGACACCTGGTGGGTGTGCAGCACCTGACAGTCCACAACGTGTCAGCACAGAGTATGCTGCTGGCCTGGCAATCTGTCAGTGGTGCTACTGGCTACCGGCTCTCCTGGGCAACCCGCACAGGTAGGTGCCTCTCCCAGAGCTTGTGCCCCTTCTGCTGGTGGCTCCGTGAGGAAGGACAGGAGGGAGCTGGTGGCACCTGCTGCCTGAACTCCCCAAGGGACTGCTGCACTGGCTCCCACAGGGCAGGACAGGCACAGGGTGGACCTGGATGCTGGGCAGACGTCGCACGCATTGGTGGGGCTGCAGCCCAACACCGACTATGTGGTGACAGTGGCCCCACTCTTCAGGCAGCTGGAGGGGCCCACAGCCACTGTGCGGCAGAGGACAGGTAGGTGTTGGGTACAGGTGATGCCATCCTGCTGCTGTGCATGGAAGGAGGCAAGGACCAGCCCTCATAGCCCCTACCCTGCCATGTGCAGGGACCAGAGACATGGGCTAGGTGGCTGGCAGCAGAGTGGTACAAGGTACTCTGGACCATGGGGTCCCTCTTGCAGAGGCAGGTACAGATCAGACACTGCAGACCAACATCCTGGGCCCCACATCCATCCAGGTGCTCTGGACCAGTGCCCGTGATGCTCGTGGCTACCGTCTGGAGTGGAAAAGAGCCACAGGTGGGCTCGGGGTGCCTGTTGCCCCTGTTGGGCCCTCCATGCCAGCAGCTGGCCGTGATCCTTCCCTTCCTGCAGGACCAGAGCCCCCCAGAACGGTGTCTCTCCCCAGCAACACCAATACTTACCAGCTGACGGGGCTGAAGCCAGGCACTGAGTACCGCATCACCCTCTACACACTCTACGATGGTGGGGAGGTGGCCACTCCTGTCACCACCTTTCAGACAGGTGAGTGCTGCTGTGGGTTCCCTGAGTTGTCTCCCACCATTCCAAGCCTTTGGCATGGAGGAATGTCCCACTGGGCATTGTTCAGCCTGAGGACTGCCTTGGCCATGAGACCCCCCAGCTGTCTGGTCACAGCCCAGGATGAGTATGGGGGTCGTGCTGTCCAGGTTGTGCCACTCCAGTTGTGCCTCACATTTCCCCTCACAGGCATGGAGGCACCCCTGAGTGCTGTGTCAGACCTGCGGCTCGTTGAGGAATCAGGCAGGCGGGTACGGCTGAGCTGGACGGGTGTCCCTGGTGCCACTGAATACAAAGTGGTGGTGCGCAACAACCAGGGTGAGTCTGTGGGCAGGGGCACGGGTGGCACCTGGGGGATCCTGACCAGCTGACACTGAGTGACCACACTGCCCTGCTCCTGGCAGATGGCACGGAGAGGACGAGACGCATCCCAGGCAGCCAGACAGGGCTGGAGCTTGGTGACCTCCGGGAGGGCATCGCCTACCTGGTGCGTGTTTCGGCACTAGCAGGCACTCAGGAGGGCAATGCTGCCACGCTCACCATCCGCCTCAGTAAGTCCACATCAGGGTTTGGTGCCAGGAGTTCTGGTACTTTATGTTCCCACATCTGTCCTCTATCCCCTGGCAACTCCTTAGGGTGGCAGCTTGGCTGTGGGGTCCCTTTGGACTCCCCAAGGTGACACTGTGGTGCTATGGGGTGGTGCAGAGTATCCAGAGGTGGGCAGCATTTCGGAGCTGCGGGTGATGGAGGCTGGTCCCAGTCAGCTGCGGGTCACCTGGCGAGGGCTACCAGGTGCCGGGGGCTACCTGCTGACATGGCAAGGCACTGATGGTGAGTGTATGGACCATGGGATGCTGTGGCAGCAGTGCTGGAGCCCTTCCTATCCCAGATATCTTTTAGGTCTGAAGAAATCCCGCTTCCTCCCTGCTGATCCCACCTCCTTCACCATCGAGGGGCTGCAGGCCAACGTTGTCTACACCGTCAGTGTCTCAGCCATTGTGGATGGCCGTGAGGGCAGCCCTGTCACTGCCACGGGACGGATAGGTGAAGTAACCCCTGCCTGACAGTGTTGTCTGGTGCCATTTGCTGTGAACCTGGGTGACAGTGGCCCTCTTGGTGTCACAGTGCCGGAGCAGGTGGGGAAGGTGACCCAGCTGGAGGTGCAGGCATCCAGGAGCAACGTTGCCCGTGTCACTTGGGTCGGTGTGCCGGGAGCCACTGCCTACCGTGTGGTGTGGAGCCGCAGGGACGGTACTGTGGGACAGGGATGGGGGTGGGCTGTGAGGGCAGCAGGGTGGGAGGCCTGATGCCACAGTCCTTGGCAGGGGGTTCGGAGAATAGCCAGCGAGTTCCTGGCCACACCAACTCCTTTGACATCCCCAACCTGGAGGGAGGCGTCTCCTACACTGTGAAGGTGACAGCACTCATTGGCAACCGGGAAGGCAACCCTGTCTCTGTTGTCGTCACCACCCGTGAGTGTTGGGGCAGAGGGCATCACCGCAGGGTTGCACTGGGCACTCTTGTCCCTAATGCCTGCCCCTCTGCTCCACAGCGGAGGCAGCGCCCCTACGCTCTATCAGCGGCTTCCAGGTGACCGAGGCCTCGGAGCACCGCCTGCGCCTGACCTGGCTGCCAATGCCTGGCAGCACCGGGTACCGTCTATTCTGGCGCCTGGCTGAAGGTGAGCATAGCTGGCTGGCACCCTTGCATCCCTGCCAGCCCCCATCCTCACCTCTCTCTGCCCCTGCCAGGGGGGTCCCAGCATAGCCAGCAGCTCCCAGCCACCTCCAGCTCTTATGTTCTGTCGGGACTGGAACCGGGCCGGCGCTACCAGATCAGCATCACCAGCCTGGCTGGCAGCCGAGAGAGTGAGCCAGCCACCATCACTGCCATCACCAGTAAGGGACTGCCTGGGGCCAAGGCAGCATGAGCCCCCAGGCACTTGGCTTGGCCCCATAGGGGCACCCAGGGCCTGGACTGTCCCAGCATTGGACTGGGGAGGGAGCAGGTTGGGGGCTCCCCCATGAAGCTGGGACACCCTTTCCTCCCCCTTGGTAGCTCCCCCAAGCCACACCACCAGCCTGCGGATAGTGGAGGTGCAGAGAGATTCGGTGACTCTCACCTGGACCCCAGTCCCTGGTGCCTCTGGCTATGTCCTCTCCTGGAGTCCTCCCGCAGGTGAGATGAGTGGGTGGCCCCAGGACGGTGGGCAGCATCCCCGCAGGGGCTTGCTGATCCCTCTGACTGTCCCCTGGGTGGCAGCTGGTGGGGAGAGGGGGCAGACGCTGCCCAGCACTGCCAGCTCCCAGCAGGTCTCTGGGCTGCGCCTGGGCCAGCGCTACACCTTCACCCTCCGCCCACTCCTGGGGAGCACACCGGGTGCCGAGGTGTCCGTCAGTGAGCGCACAGGTACTGTGGGGTCACTGCAGGGGTGGGCTGGGCTTGTCTCCACTCTGGTGGTGGCTTCATCCCTTCCTGGCTTGCAGTCTGCAGGGATGCCCTCGGTGACGTGGTCTTCCTTGTACACGGCACCCGCAACAGCTCCTCTGGTGCCGACGCTGTCCGTACCCTCCTCTCCAACACCGTGTCTGCCCTGGGGCGCCTGGGCCCTGAGGGCACACAGGTAGGCTGCTGCCACAGCTCTGGGGGCACAGGGGTGGAATGTGGGTGGGCTGTGGTGTCCACTGCTCCCCTGCACCCTTGCAGGTCGCCCTGGCCACATACAGCTACCGCAGCCTGCCCTGGCTGCTCCTGAACCGCTCCAGTGACCTGCCCACCGTGCTGGAACAGATCCGTGCCATGCGCTATGAGGACCCCAGCGGCAACGCCATCGGTGAGGGGTGGCACTAGGAGCTGGGGCAGCGGTTTCCAGGATCCTGCTGACTGTCCCTTCTTCCTTCTCCCTCTCTAGGGGCAGCCATCACCTTTGCCAGGACCTATCTGCTGAGTCCTGGCGCAGGGCGCCGTCCCGGGGTGCCAGCAGTGCTGGTGGTTCTGGCTGACAGCCCCTCTGGGGATGATGCCATCACTGTGGCCAGGGATGTCAAGGCTGGGGGTGAGGATGAATGGGGTTTCATCAGGGTGTGCAGGGACTTGTGTGGGGTGCTGAGGGTGCTCTTGGCTCAGGGGTCCAGGTGCTGGCAGTGAGCATGGAGGGGGCAGACCGGGAGCAGCTCCGGCGCATGGTCACCAGTGAGGACCCACGGTACATCTACCATGGCAGCGACCTGGCAGAGCTGGAGGGAGAGCTCACTGATGACCTCTGCACCATCATCTCCACCAGGGTAAGAGCCAGAGTACCCTGGAGTGTGGAGGGGGAGCAGCCCCATGTAAGCTGGGGGGGGTCTTCTATCCCTGGGTTCACACAGGCTTGTCTTTTCTTGCCAGCCAGAGCCAAAGCCAAAGCCCTGCACTGTGCAGTGCCCCAAGGTGAGCTTCTCGAGGCTGTGCCATGCTATGCCGCGCCACAGGTGCTCAGCATGGTTAGGGACCCCTAGTTGCTGACGGCAAGTGGGGAGTTAAGTACAAGAGTGCCAGTCCCTAACCCCTTCCCTCTGTCCCCTTGCAGGGCGAGAAGGGAGACCGCGGTGAGGCAGTGAGTGCTTTGGTGACACCCTGCCACCAGCTGGTGGCTCTGGAGTGTTTGCGTCCCCCAAACCATGCTAACGCCAACTCACAGGGGATGCTCACTACTGGCTTTGTCTCTGCAGGGACTGCAAGGACGTATGGGACCACCAGGTCTCCCTGGTCAGCCGGTAATACCTGATGGAGGGGGGCATGAGAGGGGCAGCTCCCTGGAGAGGGCAGTTTCATGGTCTCCGTGTCCTCATGTTCCCTTGTTGCTTTGTCCTGCTGGTGGGTGGGTGTGAGGAAAGGACGTGTCCAGCCCTTGCTACAGGGGTAGACAGGCAACACCTCTTGACCACCACCTGGCACCCAGCTCTTCCTCTCCACTGTGTCTCCAGGGTCGCCATGGGCTTCCTGGCCCTCCAGGACCACCAGGGCCACAGGGTCCACCAGGAGAGAGTGCTGAGGGTCCGGGCAAAAAGGGGGACAGGGTGAGTACCTCTGGCCCCTCACCTAGGCACCCCAGGATCCCTGGACACAGTGACCTGGCTCCACGGGGCCTCTCATGCCCCTTGTCCCTTTGGTCTCCACACCTACACTGGAGGGAAAATCCTGTTGAAGAACCCCAGTCCAGCCTCACACTACACCCACACCCTCACATCCCAGCTCAGCACATGAGGCTGCCCTGAGCTCCCTGTGCTGAGACCAGCACTGCCTGGGGCACTTAAGGAGTCTGGGGTACACCAGATGCTGGCATGATGCTCCTCTGTCCTGCAGGGATTTCCTGGAGCCGATGGGACACCAGGAAGCCCTGGACGCCCCGGGAATCCTGGATTACCTGGGCAGCCAGTGAGTAAGGGTGTCTCTTAGCTTTGCTGCTGCACAATGGGCTCTTCCCATACCCCTGCCTGCTCCCTGAACCAGCCTCTGCTTCCCTGTTCCCTGTGCTGGGGGAGTCTCAGCAGCTGGCAGGGTCACTGCTGTCTCCTGTGTGTGTATCCCAGGCAAGGTGTACTGGAGATGCCATGCCATCCCATCCTCACTCCCCTGGCTGGCAGGAATGTGTTCACCTCCTGAACTGTTGTTTTCTAGGGCATCCAGGGCATCCCTGGTCCTCGAGGAGATCCTGTGAGTATGGCCCCTGCACACCCCAACCTTTCTCACACCCAACACCCCCTCTCATTCTCATCTCTCCTTCCCAGGGGACACGGGGGCCCATGGGACTTAGTGGCCCAAAGGGGCAGAAAGGTGAACCGGTAGGTGATGGACGGGGGGCTGCCCCACAAAAGTTCCTGAGGAGCACTGGGGACCCTGGTGGGCACATTTTGGCACCTGGCATCTCCTGGCCCCAGGGTCTCCCCATCTCCCTGCCAGACTCCTGGCCTTGTGGCACTGTGGCCACAGCAGGGCACAGAGGCCACTGATTTTTCTTCCCCCTCCTCGTGCAGGGAGAGCCCAGGGTGATCACGGATGGAGAACAAGGGCTACCAGGCCAGAAAGGGGAGCCAGGTGTGCCGGTAGGTGTGGAAATAGGGATGTGAAGGGGTCTCTGCCAGCACCCCCAGCCCACACCACAGCCTCCTGATGGAGCACCTCTGTCCTCCAGGGCAGTACCGGCTCACCAGGGATCCCTGGCCCACGGGGGCCCCTTGGGGATCCAGGCCCCCCTGGTCCACTTGGACCCATGGGGCTACCAGGACCTCCTGGAGAGTTTGTGAAGGTACTTCCCCCTGATGCTGCATGTGGATGGTTGGAGGATGTGTGGGCAGGTGGATGGGGAGCAGCCAGCTGCTTGGAGCTGCTGCTCCGTGGACTCCTCCTGCCCTGCTCATGGGCTGTGCCTGCACACATATGAACGTGCCTGAGCTGTCGCTGCACTGGGCAGCAACATGGCATGCACATACCCTATTGCCACTGATGATGGGCTCTACCCAGCATGTTCCTCTTCTATTTAAGGAGGGCATGGGAATAGCCCAGAACTGCCCTTATTTGCTTTTTTCGCCCTTGCAGGGAGAAAAGGGTGACCGAGGGGAAAGGGTGAGTGGCTGTGGATTTCCCTGACTCCTCTGCCCTACTGGATGGAGGTGCCTTGAGTGTCCAAGGGCACTGCAGACCCTCAGGGTGCTGGGAGCCCTCAGAGCACCCACACAGGAGCTGACCCTTCTCTCTGCAGGGCCCCCCTGGATTTGTAGATGGGGCAGTACCTCGAGGGGATCCTGGACCCCCAGTGAGTCGAGCCTCTAGGCCAACAGGGTTGGCAGAAGGGATCAGGGCTGCAGTGGCTGTGTGTGCCCAGGGCTGAGTTGCATCCCCAGGGGCTGAGATTTTCTCTCTTGCAGGGCCTGCCTGGGGACCCTGGGCCTCGGGGACCTCCTGGGCCCCCTGGCCTGAAGGGAGAGAAGGTAAGAAGGTGGCAGGGATGCTCCCCACTGGGAGGGCTGGACCTCACCACTCTCCAGCGGGGATTCCCATCTAATGGGCATGCCCCTGTCATGAGCATGTCTATCACCTTTCCAAATCCCTAGGGTGATGGCATAGAAGGTTTTCCAGGGTCACCTGGCCGTCCTGGGGACCCAGGAGACAGGGTGAGTTTCCTGAGAGAAGGTAAGGCAGGCAGGAGCTGGCCATGCCAAGAGCCAAGCCCAGAGGGCACACTTGAGGGCTCCTCCTTTGGACAGCCTGGGCATTTGCCTTGTCACACCCAAGGTGACAATGTCTCCCTTCTCCTTTGCAGGGTCCTCGGGGGCCACCAGGGGAGCAGGGCAGGAAGGTGAGTGGTGCAGGGACCAAAGGGACACTCTTGCCATGCCTTTGGCAGGGAGAAAAGAGTTCTGGGTTTTGTGCCAGGACCCAGGATGTCCCCCAAATGTCCTGCTGCCCCTGACCCTGTGTTTCTCCTATACCAGGGAGACCGTGGGGCACCAGGCGAGCTGGGAGAGACAGGCGAGAAGGTGAGATGATGCCAAAGCTGACCAGCATTGGCCAGCCCTGGTGTCCCTGAGACATGGTGGTGGCTGTGCCTGGGGACTGCTGTCACAACCCAGTGGTCTTGGATGGGATTCAAGACTGAATCATGAAGAGCTCTGGGGCAGTGTATGGGCTGGGGGCAGTGTGATGTAGAGGGAGGAAGGCTCCCTGAAACCCTCCTCTGCTTTGCTCTGCAGGGAGACCGTGGTGTGCCAGGCCCAGAGGGTGAGAAGGTAGGTGTGCTGGGGCAGCTGTCCATGATGGAGTGATGCCTGCTCTGCCCTGGAGCAGCCACCCTGGCAGGATGCCCACACACCTTCCTCTTCCTCCTCTCCTGCAGGGTGAGACGGGAGCCCCAGGGCACCCAGGGCCATCAGGCAGAGAGGTGAGTCAGGGCATTGGGTGTGGTGCTGTGGAGCCAGGAGCTGCCATGCCTTGGGTGCATGTTCCCAGGCACTGCCAGTCGCCTGAGGACTCTAATCTTGCCATAGGGAGCTCCAGGACCTACTGGCCCCCGGGGGGAAAAGGTGAGGGCAAAGTAGGGTTCTCAGTGGGGTGGCAGGGGTCTGTTGGGGAAGAGGCTGGCAGTGACACCCGTCTCTCTGCAGGGCGATCCAGGACCACCTGGCAAGCCAGTAAGTGATCCTGTAGGTCCTCCTCTGCCTGCCCCAGCCCCAGAACAGGGAGCCATGGGCAGTGCCCAGCATGGTCTCCTTTGCTTCCCCTCCAGGCTCCCGGTGTAGCTGGTGTTGGAGAGAAGGTAACCCTGGCCCAGCTGTGCCCTGCACCCTCTGGGCATGGCTCTGGGCTGGAAGGGGGATTGCACAGTTGGGTTCATCCTGGTCCCAGACCTGGTTGTCCACAGCTGCAGTGGGGGAAAAATGGGTGGTTTGGTGTGCTGATTTTATCTGCTCCAGGGTGACAGAGGTTTCCCAGGACCAGAAGGACCACCTGGCCCCAAGGGTGACACAGGAGATAAAGGTGCCCGTGTGAGTACTGCCTTGAGGATAGGAAGCACAGGGCACATGGCACAGCCCTCCCCAGACTCATGGTGTCTGTGCTGGTGCTCCATGCTATGTCCTTTCATGTCTAGGGTCCCCCTGGCCTGAGCATCCCAGGACCACCTGGCCCCAAAGGCGAGCAGGGCGATCGGGTGAGTCTGGGGGCACCCTGGGGGCACCAGCTCATGGGCCTGGTCCCTCCCTGTCAAGGGGTCACCAAGGTTCCCAGTGACACATGCTCTTCCTCTCCAACAACCAGGGTATCGTTGGCCTCACAGGCAGGAGTGGCCCAAAGGTAATGTCACTGCCCTTCCATTCATCTGTCCGTCTGCATGTCCAGCTCTAGAGGGGCTGTTCCTGCAGGCTGTGCCCCTTCTCTCCCCAGCTGCCCAGACTCTACCCTGACTGTTACCCCTTCCCTTGCCTAGGGTGACCCAGGAGAGCCAGGGGAGAAGGGGGAGCCAGGCCGAGCAGGCACCCCTGGGCAGACCGGGCTGCGAGGCAAGGAGGTAGTGTGGGACAAGGGGCTATGGGGCACTGTGGCCCTGAGGAAAGGGGGGCTGGCAGGGAGCAGGGGGATGCTGGTGACTTGTACTTTTCTCTCCTGGCCGGTGCCCGCTGATTTGTGCTGCAGGGAGAGCGAGGAGAGAAAGGTGATGATGGCACCCCGGTAAGTGAGAGTCCCCAGCACTACTGCTCCTGTTCCTCCTGCTCCTGTTCCTCCTGCCTCTGTTCCTACTGCCCCACACTCATCCCCTCTTTCCCCACAGGGTGAAGCGGGTCTGCCTGGCAAACCTGGAGACAGGGGTCCCCGGGTAAGTGCAGGGCTGCTGGGCACCCTGGAGTAGGAGAGAGACCCATGGCCTCGGGATGGCTCCTGCTAATGCACATCTTCCCTTTGCCCTCACTCAGGGCCTTCCTGGCTACCGTGGTCCCCCTGGGGAGAAGGGAGACTTGGGGGACCCAGGACCTGAAGGCAGGAATGTGAGTATTCCCTTGTATGTACCCACTGCTCCATGGACACCCCTCACACCTCATTGCCCCACACCCACCCTTACCCCAGGGTACCCTCAGGGTACCCACAGGACCCACACCCCACGGGTCCCCCATTCCCTCCCCCTCTGACTCCGTCCCTCTTTCCTGCAGGGCAGCCCTGGAGCACCAGGGAGCAAGGGTGACCGTGGGGACCCGGTGAGTGATGGCAGGGCCACGTGTGGCCCCCCAGCCTGCAGCCAGCTGTGCCTTCCCTGGGGCTGTGCCAGCTCCCCTTAATCTGCTTCCCTTGCTCTTCTTTCAGGGGCCCCCTGGACCCCCGGGACGAACTGTAAGTTCTGCCTCCCTCTTCTCCCTGCCCATGGGCTGGTGTCCAGCCCCATGTGCTCCAACAGCTCCTCTCTGCCCCACAGGTCGATGTTGGGCTCGGAGGAGTAGGGGCAAAGGGTGAGAAGGTAATGAATGAGTCCTTGGGATGCTGGTGGTAGAATACTCTCTGCTGTCCTCTGGGCTCTGCCTGGCTACTGGGATCATTGCTCATCAAGCCCTCCCTGCCCAAAACAGTCTCTGCTACATGCAGCTGATGTGCACCACAACAGAGAGGCACATGGAACTCGGGGGCACATGGGCTAACACTCATGCCCTGTGATGGGAGGAGGCCTTGTAGGACTGAGGGTTCCAAAAGAAATGGTGTTCTCTGGGCTCCCCAGTCCCACAGTGCTGCTGAGGCAGCACCCAACCCCTGGGCATTCTGCTTTTACCACCCAGCTTAGGCTCAGGACAGTTTTGGCCACGAGCTGTGCTCTGTACTGGGTGGCATTGTTGTCCCCACCTGTGGCTGAGCTGGTTCCTGGCTCAGCAGTGCTGCTCAATGCCTTTCTTCTGCAACCACACTCTGGCCCTCACTCCCCTAGTGGGAGCTGCTTTGAGTTCAGCCACCTCTTCCTCAGCCTGTGCCTCTTATTTTGAGACCGTTCCTCTCATCCTACCCCTAAATCACACAGCACCAGTACTCTGTACTCTTGGTACAGCATAGTACTCTCTGAGCACTGTGCCCTTCCCTGGCAGGGGGACCCTGGGGACCCAGGCAAGGACGGCGTGAGCGGTGCCCGGGGTGATGCTGGCCCCCCTGGAGTGCCTGGAGAGAGGGTAGGTGCTGGGTCCCTGGTGTGGAGGCACTGGGACAGCAGGATGGGTGATGTTCTGCAGGGGAGCTGGGGGTCCTGGTGTGCAGGGACAGCCTGCTGAGCACCCAGGATCCTCTCCTTTCCCCCATGCCCCACTGCTGAGCTTGTCTCTTTCTTGCAGGGTGTGGAGGGCCCCCGTGGCCCCCCTGGCACACGAGTAAGTGTCCCCTTTCCCATGGGGGTCTGAATGGGGGACCCGTGTCCTGTGCAGCTCCTGTTAGTGGGAGATGATGCTCATTTCTCTTCCGGCCCCGTAGGGTGACCCTGGGGACCGAGGCCTGCCAGGAGAGAAGGTGAGAGGACTCGGGGCTGAGGGTTGCCCCACAACACTCCCATCCCACCCCAGAGCTCCAGCTGTCCTGCTCTCTTACAGGGGGACCGTGGCCCACCAGGGCTGGATGGCCGCAATGGGCTGGAAGGCAAACCTGGGCCCCCAGGGCCTGCTGGGCTGCGGGTGAGTGTGGGCCAACGTGGGGGGAATGTCTGTGCCCGGGTGCCACGGGTGGGAGCTGTGGGATAGAGGGGTGATGGCATGGGAGGAGCTGTCCCCTGGACACCCTCTGCTCCAGGCTGGGGATGCTCTGGAGGGGGGGCCTTTGACAGGATGGGAATGTCCCTGTCCTCACCTCCTCCTTGTCTGCAGGGGGACCCGGGAAAGCAAGGAGATCCTGGCCGGGATGTAAGTACCTCTGGAGACGGTGGGTTTAGGTTGTGTTCCTGCTGGGGCCATTAGGCTTGTAAGGGACCAGTGCCCTGTCTCATGCTGCTTGGTCCAGGGCAGTGCAGCAAGAACCTCCCCTGTCCCCACAGAGTGCCACTGCCAGTCACACTCCCTGCTCCCTGGCTGGCTGTGGCAGATGGGTGCCTTGCTGCCTTGTGCTCCCACCATCTCCCTTCCCTACAGGGGCTGCCTGGGCTGCGTGGGGAGCAGGGTCCACCTGGTCCTGTGGGTCCCCTGGGACCACCTGGTGTGCCTGTAAGTACCAGCCACCCTGCACCCTGGGGACACTGCCTGTGCCATGCCCTCTGTGGATCCCAGCTGGATCCATCCATGGGGCTTGCTCTGTGCCCAGCTCACCCTTCCATGGACCCTGAGGCTCCAGTGGGGCCCAGGCATCCCTGGCTGCTGGTGCCCCTGGCTGGTGGAGAGCCTGGGGGCTCTCTCACTGCCTTTTGTTTCCTCCCAGGGCAAACCCGGTGAGGATGGCAAACCTGGCCTGAATGGCAAGAATGTGAGTAGGGGAAACAGGGCTTGACTTTGGGGCTCTCCAAGGATGCTGAGGGATAGTCATCCCAGTACAATATAAGGCAAGGGGAGGATGTGGCAAAGAACCCCCATGCTCTGAGCCAGCCTCCAGTTTGTACCCATCTTGAGATGGTTAAGTGGGGCACTGACAGGCAGCCTTTGTTCCCAGGGAGAAGATGGGACACCAGGAGAGGATGGGAGAAAGGTAAGGAGATGGTGGTTCCTGTGTGGTCCCTGCATGGTCCCCATATGATCCCCACAAGACCAGTGGCTCCACCCTCCCCAGACCAGGAGCACCATTTTGGGGCATGTGGATGGGGCAGCATCCCTCCAACTCCTTTCTCTCCTGGTTAGGGAGACAAAGGTGATACAGGACTACCTGGGAGAGAGGTGAGTGGTCCCCAAAGAGGAATGTGTGATGGGGGCTGCTGGGTACATGCCCCCATCGGGCACAGACCTGGGTCCCAGATCCTAGGGGTGACACTGCTCTCTTGGCAGGGCCGCAGCGGTGCCAAGGGCGAACAGGGGGACAGAGGTGTGCCAGGTCCCCTCGGCCCCCCTGGCCTTCCTGGTGTCCCAGGCCAGGTTGGCCCCCCAGGCCAGGTGTGTAGTTCTCGACCCCATGGTGTCACTCAGCAGCAGATCCTGGAGTCCAGACTGCTCTGAGGACCCCCATCCATGGGCAGTGCCCTGTGTCCATGGGGGCCAGGTGCTATTGTGTCACCTCCGTGTCTTCTAGGGCTCCCCAGGCCTCCGTGGGGTGGCTGGACCAAAGGTAAGTGTGCTCCTGCCCCCCAGGCTCCCAAGGCAAAGGTCTGGGGGGACCACATGCCAGTGGGAGTAAGTCCCTGGTAGGAGTCCCCACCCCCAAGACGACAGGGCTGGACCCTGGTGCTGCAGTTGGTGCTGGGCAGCCTGACTGCTGCCCTTGATCCCTTTGCTGTGTTTCAGGGGGACCCAGGGGAGCCTGGACTGCGTGGGGAGCCGGTGAGTACCCAGCACTAAGCCTGACAAGCTACCAGCACCCCAATCACAGCCACAGCCCCTGCCCAGGCAGCACCAAAGTGTTAACTCTGTAACCTACTAAGGGTGAGCACTGCTCACCCCTCTTGCTGCACCTCTGTGCATCTTCTCATTCTCTCTTTTCCTGTAAACCTAGGGGCGACCTGGCAACCCTGGAGCACGTGGAGACCCTGGGACTGCAGTGGTGAGTCCTTACCTTGACCTGCTGTGCTGCATCAGCCCTGGGGGACAGAGAACCTTCCACAGCCTCTGTGGTGGGAACCTACTTTGTTTTTAATGTCTTTTTATTGCAGAACATTGAACGTAGCCTGGAAGCACTTGGCATCAAGGTATGTATTTCCTGACTCTCAGGCTGGGGCTTTTTCCTGCCACATGGCAGCAGGAAGAGGGCATAGGAGCTGGTGGGAGATCCCAGCAACTTAGGATGAGTTAGCAGGACTGTGAAATGCTGGGTTCCACTTATGCCCTGACCGGTGGCTCTCTCCTCCCTCCCAGGTTTCATCCCTGAAGGAGCTCACGGGTGCCTATGATGGGAGCTCAGACTCGCTTCTGCCGGGGTTTGAGCGGCTGCGGGGCCAGAAGGGCAGTCGGGGGGATCCAGGAGAAAGGGGGCCCCCAGGCCGAGAGGTGAGTGGAGCCAGGCTTGATGCCAAGCCCCAACACTCTGCCCCACTCCTGCTTCTGGGCTGGCTGGGAGTTCATGCAGCTGGCCCAGTCCTGGGGTGCTCGGGGAGAGCTCATAGCCCTGCCTCAGGGCTGGCTCTGGCAACACAGCTTATATTTTGCAGGGCTCCTTAGGCTTCCCTGGTGAGCGAGGACCCAAAGGTGACAAGGGGGACCCAGGTAGCCCCGGCCCCCAGGGCCCCATGGGCCGGGCCGTGGGTGAGCGGGGTCCCGAAGGGCCGCCTGGGCAACCAGGGGAGCCTGGCAAGCCAGGCATTCCTGGGGTGCCGGGCCGGGCTGGGGAGCTGGGGGAATCCGGGAGGTCCGGTGAGAAGGTGAGTGTGTGTGCAGGTGCCAGGTGAAATCTGGGGGACCTGGTTTAGGGGCTTGGGCATAGCCCCGTGACAGCCACCATGGTGTTTGCACAGGGCGACCGAGGTGAGAAGGGCGACCGAGGTGAGCAGGTGAGCTGGGACAGGGACACGGTGCCCTCCATCCCCTCCTGTGCTGTGCCCCTCTTGAGGGGATGCAGGGCTCTCTGTGGGGCAGGCAGATGCCCTGTAAAGGCCAGGAGTGGCCATACCAGGAAGGCTCTGCTCTCCCATGCCCTTTGACACTCAACCTATCTCTTTACCCTTCTCAGGGAAGGGATGGCATGCCTGGACCCCCAGGGCCCCCAGGGCCCAAGGTAGGTGATGGCTGCTGCTGGGGACCATCATCAAGGTGCCGGCCTGCCTCTCTGGGGATGGATGGCCACATCCAGTCCCTTGGCACAGGGGCTTGGGGATGGCTTTGCCCCTGAGGGGCTCTTCCTGAGGTCCCCTGGATGCTGGTCCTGACTGTGCCCTGCCCACAGGTGGACGTGATGGAGGGCAGCCTGATGGGCCTCCCAGGAGAACGTGGCCCCATCGGACCCAAAGGAGCGAAGGTGTGTGGCTGGTCTGAAAGGAGAAGGGCAGCCAAGACAACTGAGCTGGGGCAACATCATGAGCTGGGGCTGAGGATGGTGGTGGGGCAGAGGGGCAGCAAGGGCTGATGGCATCTGTCTTCTTCCCAACACAGGGTGAGCCAGGAGCTGAGGGCGAGCGGGGACCCAAAGGAGATAAGGTCTGAGGTTATAAGTATCCAATGTCAGTGTGCCCTGGGTGAGGGCACTGCTGGGCACACCCCTCTTTGGGTGTCAGCAGAGCCTGGGAGGTCATGGAAGGTCCCTGGCCATCTTGTGATGCTGTGCCTGTCCCCACTGCAGGGCGAAGGTGGCTTGAGGGGTGGCCGAGGGGAGCCTGGTGAGAAGGGCAGGGACGGCGCCCCGGTGAGTCCTGCACTGCTCCCCTGCCTGGCACTGACCCTGGACCGTCATTGGCACTGACCCCATCTCTGTCTCCATCCTTTGCTCTAGGGTCTCCCGGGTGAGAGAGGGCTGGCAGGCCCTGAGGGGAAGCCGGTGAGTGGGGACATGGTGGGGACATGCAGGCTGGGACTGGGGGAGGTCCTGTGGTCTCACACCAGCCACCACCAGCACCAACAGGAGTGTTTATGCCTCATTCACTGCCTTCTCCCCCCACATCCCATGCAAGGCCTGCAGAGCTTTAGGGGGCTTCTCCCTATTCCTACCCCTCCTAAGTGCCCTGGTTGGGTACCACACACTGGGAATGGGGAGCATCCCTGGGAGGCAGGCAGGGCTGTGTGAAGGGGGTGGGTTTCCGCTTGTCCACTGACGCTGATGTGGTTCTTTGCAGGGCTTGCCAGGCTTTCCTGGCGTGCTGGGACGCCCGGTAGGTGTCTGTGTGTCTCCCATGTCCTTGTGCCCCACCACCTCAGCACACAGCTAGGGGCTCCTGGCTGTGAATGCTTGGTGAAATAATGGGGGTCACTCTGCTGCCGGGCTGGGTCCTTGGCCCCCTGCATCTTAGCAGGACCTGTCCAGGCTTGTATTACTTGGTGCTTACAAGAGCTGCTGGCACTATCTGGGTCTGCCCTCCCTCGGGACACCCCCTGCTCCCACTCGGGAAAACCCTTCTGCAGTGATCCCATTTCTTCCTTCCTTCAGGGCAATCAGGGAGACCCAGGACCCCCAGGACCTCAGGTAAGGAGCCACCATGCACCACGTGCAGGGGACTGTCATGCAAGTGTGATGTCAGCCAGGGTGGGCATTCCCCAAGGGAGTGGAGGTGGGGTGGCAATGCTGGGACTGAGCGGTCCTGCTGCTCCTTCCCTGTCCTGTGTCACCAGCAAGCATCACCCCAATAATGTCCCCTTGTCCCCTGCAGGGCAGCACCGGCCCACCAGGGACCCAGGGCCCAGCTGGTGCCAAGGTAAGGCAGCGGCATTGGCATCTGCATCAACATTGCTATGGCAGAGGGAAAATGGTGCCTTGCCAGATTTGGGGACTGGAGGGAGGACCACATTTTATTTCATTTCATTTTTCACATTTCACATTTTGCATTTCATTTTCATTGGGCTGGAGGGAGGGACATTTGGGCTGGACCCCCTCCTGGATGCAGGTATGAAGATGTGCCTGTGACCCAAGTAGCTGGTTGGTTTGGGTGGTTGGGCTGATGCAGCGTGTTCTTCACAGGGTGATCCAGGGGAACCTGGCTCCAGCATCCGTGTGAGTACTCATACCCTCCCTGACAGTACCCACCTGGCTGTCCAAAACCATCCAGCCTCCCCAGAATCAGCCAGTCCCACCCCAACACACCTTCCCCCAGGGGCAGCCAAGGTCCTGGCTGTGCCATCTCCTCTCTGATGTGGCTGTTTCCATTGCAGGGCTTGCCTGGCCCCCAGGGCAACATGGGCCTGCCAGGACCCCTTGGCCCCCCCGGCCCAGTGGTAGGTATTTGCAACACCCCAAACCTGCCCCTTCGCTGTTCCTGGTGCCTGGAATGCTGCTTGATTTCTGCTCGTGTCTCCATTGCAGGGCCCACCGGGTGTCCCTGGGCTGCCAGGACAAGTGGTAAGTGTGTTGCCCCGCACATCAGTGTGGGTGCTTGGGGCTGCCTGGGGGGCTGTAGGGGCCCCAAACTCCACTCTCACTCTTACTGCCTGCAGGGGGAGAGCGGGAAGCCAGGCGTGCCGGGCAGGGATGGTGTGCCTGGGAAGGACGGCGAGGCAGGAGTGCCTGGGAAGATGGTATGATGGTCACCCTGCCCCATCCCTGGGGAACCCCACTCAGCTCAGCCTGGGTTGTTTGCAGCTAAGACTGAGGGCTGTGTTGCTTGTGCCAGGGCTTACCAGGACCTTCAGGGCCTGCTGGTCCCAAGGGAGAGCCAGGGGATGCTGGAGCCCCAGGGCAGGTGAGTGCAGAGCTGCCTTGTCCAGTGTTCCTGACCAGGATCCCCGTGCAGCTCTGCTCACCTGCCCACTCTGTCCTTTGCCCCAGGCCATCGCTGGCCCCCCTGGAGCCAAGGGAGAGAAGGTAAGGAGCCAGGGTGTGGATAAGGGTCTGCTGGGCACTGGCATCCGCAGTGGGCACATCTGAGCACCCGTGTATCCCCTGCAGGGTGAGCCGGCGCTGCTGGAGGGTGTGCTGCTGGGAGAGCCCGTGAGTCACCCTATAAACCTTTAATGACGCTCCCATTACCCTCATCTCCCCTCATTAACCTTTCCCTACCATTAACCTCATCCTCTCCACCACCCTTGTCTTCTGAGGAGCAAGCCAGCCCTGTGGCTGCCGTCTCCCCCAACTCTGCTGTCCCTGACAGGGCTCCAAGGGCGACCGAGGCTTGCCAGGCCCCAAGGGTGAGAAGGTGAGCGCTGCCCTGGAGGTCGGTGGGGAGGGGGTCCCTGGCTGCTTGGCCACAGTATGAGGATCCAGCTTCAGCTGCTCCCCCAGTTCATAATCCCACACATCTGCTTTTTCCTTGTCCTGCCAGGGGGAGCCAGGAAGGTTTGGAGAGCCAGGAGATCCTGGGGAGTAGGAGGCATATGGGGGTGGTGGGTGGATACTGGGGACAGTAGATGTTGGCAGGGGCTGGTATCTGCTCCCCTGCCACCTACTGCCCAGGCCTTTCTGGGGGCTTGGTGTCTTCACAGGGAGCCAAGGGATCCCCTGGAGCCAAAGGGGAGAAGGTATGTGTCCCCTGCCCCCAGGGGTTCCCCCACCTGGGGGATGCTCTGGGTGGCATGATGGCCCTGGCATCCCTGTGCCCACCAGCCAGGTGAGGTGCTACATGCTCTCTGCCACCTTGCAGGGATCACTGGGTGTTGGTGCACGGGGACCACCAGGACAGGACGGGCCTCCAGGTTTGAAGGTAACCCCTGTGCCCATGTCATCCTGGCTCTGATCATGTCCCTGATGCCCCAGTGATGCTCTAGCTTGGCTGGCTGAGGGAAAAGCACACTCCGGAGGAGCTGTTTTTGTGGGCCTCATCTTTTACTTCTCTACTTCAGGGTGACACCGGATTGCCAGGATTACCAGGACCCCCAGGCTTAGCAGGCAGTGCTGGGATGCCAGGACAGCCAGGCCTGAGAGGGGACAATGGACAGCCTGGCCCTCCAGGTCCCCCAGGAGAGAGGGTAAAGACTATAACCAGAACGTGGCATCATTGGTCCTGGCAACTCTGGACCCTTGTGCAGTGTCAGTGAGGTCCCTGCAAGCCCCACTGCTTCCCAGCCACAGCCCCTGCCCATTCCCTGCTTTTTCCCTGCCAGGGTTTGATCGGCTTTCCTGGCAGGGATGGCACCGCTGGACCACCAGGACCTGTGGGGCCCCCAGGGCCGGCCGTGAGTATGGTGCCACAGCATTCCTGGGAGTGTAGGCTCTGCCCTGGCTCCCCTGCTGTCTCAGACAGGCTGACAGGGACCCAGCCAGCTCCTCCATGGCCCCTGGGGCAGGGTGTTGCTGGAGTGTCCAGTGGGACTCTCAGCAATGTTTTGCAGGGTTTCTGGCATTGCTTGCCTCCCGTGGCTTGCTCACCCTTCTCCTTTCTTTTAGGGCATACAAGGGGCCCCTGGCCTGAAGGGTGACAAGGTAGGACCAGGTGCAGCCCTATAGCATGAGAGGTGGGAGGCTGCTTCTCTTGTGGAGTGTTCCTGCAGCCACCTCCCCCCTGAGGGTGCTGAGCCCACTCTGGATGGTGGCACATGGGACCCTCCTGTGTGCCAGCACCCAGAGAGGTGGTGGAGACTGTGGGGTGTCTCCTGGAATGGGGGGAACCTGGCAGGGCTGAGTGGGCAGTGGGGATAGGGATGAGTTCCTGCCTTTCTCTGGCAGGGCGCTCCAGGGGCTGGGCTGCCAGGAGCCAGAGGTGAACGTGGTGACCCAGGACCACGGGTAGGTACTGCCACAGTCCCTGCCATGTCCCCACAGCCAGGGACAGGGAGGCCTCTGAGCCAGAGCTGCAGCTGTCCCTGGGGTGCCCCCAAACTAAATACCTTTCTTACATCCCTTCCTTCTTGCAGGGTGAAGATGGGCGTCCAGGGCCAGAAGGGGATCGTGGGCCAGCAGTAAGTACCCCCCTTCCTCAGCTGCACCCTGATCCAGGCCCCTTGCTGACCACAGCTCTATTCTCCCCCACAGGGCTTACCTGGGAACCGTGGGGAGCGTGGGGACAAGGTAAGGGACTCTGTGGGCTGAGGGGAGAATGATGCACTCCAGGTATTGGGGTGCCCAGGGAGGTGCTGCCTGCTCCCTGCTGTGCAGCTTTGCAGCATCTCACCTTCCTCACAGGGAGACCTTGGGGCCCCAGGACCCAAAGGAGACAAGGTGAGTCCTTGGGCAGGGGGCAATGGGAAGCCAGGCAGCAGCACTGGCCCCCTTCTCACCCACACCTCTCTCTCTGCTTTGGGTGTACAGGGTGATACTGTGGTGGTGGAGGGGCCGCCTGGAGCACGGGGCAGCAAAGGGGAGCCGGTAAGAACTGTCCCTATTCTCCCTCTCCCCATCCTTCCTGTCCCTCTGGGAAGAGCTGGAGGAGCTTTTTCCTGCTGAGGGACCCTCCCTTGAGAGCATATTGTCCCCTCTCCTTCAGCCACCCTACAGACCCCCATGTTCCTGCCCCCACGGGAGTCTATCCTCACCACCCTGATGGGTATCTGAGCTTTTCCTCATTCCCTGACCCCTCCCTGTGTTTCCTCCTTTGCAGGGGGAGCGTGGCCTGAAGGGCACAGAAGGGGACAAAGGGGACAAGGGGGAGCAAGGCATGCTTGGAGACAAGGTACAGGGCTGGGGGGAACTTGTGCAGGGCTGGAAGCTGCTGGGTTGGGGATCATGGAGGGCTGTTGACAGGGCAATGGACAGAGGAAGCAGGGCATGACAGCATCCCTGTGCCCTATGTGCTGGTGCTAGTCAGCACCAGGGACATGGTGCAAGGGGAGCTGCCAGACCTGGCCTCGGAGGTGACCATGGCTGTGCAGTGGCCATGCAGTGGCTGGCGCTCTCCCTCCTGCCCTGTGCTGATCTGGGTTTGTGCTTGCAGGGCACGAGGGGTGAGCAAGGAGAGAAGGGCTCCATGGGCTTCCCTGGGGCACGCGGTCCTAGTGGACAGAAGGTATGAAGCTGGGCAGCCCCTCTGCTGGGGATGCTGGTGGCACCGTGCCCCTCACCTGCCCTGACTGATGCCTTTGCTTTCCCCAGGGAGAGGTTGGAGCTCCAGGAGAGCCTGGCGAGCCGGTGAGGAGTTGTGTCTTTGTGCCTCTGCCACCCCAGTGCAGGGCAGGAGCAGACCCTCGTCATGCTGTGTGCTCTCTCACAGGGTCAGCCTGGCCGTGATGGGATCCCCGGGGCCCGGGGAGAGAAGGGGGACATGGGACCCCTGGGCATGCGTGGCCTCAAGGTGGGTTGTCTTCTCTGGCTGCCAGTGCTCTCCTGGCCAGGACTAGTGCTGGCCTGGCACGGATCTGACTTCCCATCTTTGCAGGGTGACCGAGGCATGAAAGGTGCCTGTGGCCTCAATGGGGACAAGGGTGAGAAGGTGAGTGGGTGCCTGTAGGGTGCTGCAGGAGCCTGGATGTTGCCTGGAGGCTGTGGCCCTTTGGATCCCCTCCACCAGCCAGCGGGAGTGGGGTGATGGCTGAGGCCAGACCTTGACCCCGTGACAGAGTCATGGGGTCCCCTCCTGTGACTGTGGCTCTGAGGTGAGCATTGAGGGGTGAAGGACTGACTGCCCTGCCTCTCTCCTGTCTGCTGTAGGGAGATCCAGGGATCCCCGGGCGCTCTGGACTGCCAGGGAGGAAAGGCGAGCCGGTAAGCACCACACTGACACCCGGGTGGGACAGGAGTGCAGGGCTGGTGGCTGATGGACATCTCCTCTGTCCCATAGGGAGATCTGGGTCTGTCAGGACCACCAGGCATTCCAGGAAAAGAAGGGCTCATGGGACCCAAGGTAGGTTAGAGTAGTGCTGGGAAAAGCTATGCTGGCACTTCATTCCCTTGCTGCTTGCCTCCCACTGTGTGTCCCCTGCTGCCTGTCCCTTCCTCTTTGCAGGGTGACCGAGGATTTGATGGGCAGCAGGGAGCCAAAGGAGACCAGGGGGAGAAAGGAGACCGGGTGAGCAGGCTGGAAAGGGATGGGTTGCATTGCACCACATTGCTTGTACCAGGATACAGCCTTGGTTGGAAGCATATCAGAGCCTGATTCTCCCAGAAGAGTCATTCAACGCTGCTCTAAATTATGTCACTAAACAATGAATGACAACAATTCCCTGCTGTTTATAAGAAGGCACCAGTGCTGCTTCTTTGAGGATGCCCAACTGTAGGGTCAGAGGATGTTCCATGGCATCTGCTCTGAAGTCAGGGGCTCTGGCACCCCTGGCCTCACCCTCTGCTCTCCTACAGGGTGCCCCGGGTGTTATGGGTGTCCCTGGTCCCCGGGGCAGTGACGGTGCTCCTGGACCCCCTGGACCCTCAGGGAGTGTTGGCCCACGAGGTCCTGAGGGCATGCAGGGCCAGAAGGTAAGTCCTCACCACAGGTGACTGGTCCCCTCTGAGGCTGTGAGGATGGGAGGGCCCCATCCCCTTAGTGGGTGAGGGGTGGGTGGCATCTGGAGTCATGTCCCAGCTCTGTCCTGCCCTGCCAGCTCGCTGGCTTTGGGGTCCTCCCTTGTGTCCCCCAGCCCAGGGGATGGAGTCTGAGGGAAGGAGTCTGGAACCCTGCTTGTCCTTGAGCTGAGCTGGACCTGTCCCCATCCTCACCTGGGGTGCAGGTGTAGGGAAAGCAGCACATCCGTGGTGCTGGGGAGGGCAGAGAGACTCCAGCACCCACCGGCCAGATCCTGAGCACATGTCCTTTGCAGGGGGAGAGAGGCCCCCCTGGACAGTCAGTGCCAGGCGCACGCGGCGTGCCTGGTATCCCTGGTGAGAGAGGAGAGCAGGTAAGTGTGTGGGTGCCTGGCCCTGCCTGGATGAGCTCCAACCAGGGCCAGCTTCCCACCTCCTTTCTGCTGTCCCCAGGGCAGTCCTGGCGCCCACGGGCTCCGTGGGGAGAAGGGGGAGCCAGGCATGACGGTAAGGAGCCAGAAGGGAGCCAGCACAGGCTCGTGGCATTCAGGTCACTGGGGTGGGAAGGGGTGCTAGATCCATCCCACTGTCACTGACGTAAGGGCTGCCTTCACCTCTGGGCTCTGCTAGGCCCTGGGGAAAAGGCTTTTCCTCCTCTTTAATTGCACCATCCCCCATTACTACCTTTGCCCCTTCACGTGCCTGGCAGGAGGAGGAGATCCGTGGCTTCGTCAGGCAGGAGATGAGCCAGCACTGTGGTGAGCATCCCCCACTGCTGCCCTGGGGCTGGGGGTCTGGACCCACTGCCCCTGACCCCCACCCTGTTTCTCCCACAGCCTGTGGTGGCCACTTTCCACGACACCAGGATTCACGTGAGCACTCAGGTTGCAGCTCTTCCTTCCTATCCCCCTGCCCCACACGTGTGGCACCAAAAGGGCCCTGGCATGCAGGTGTGCCACTGGTTTTGGGGAGATGGAGGTGGCTGGCATCCTCCATGACCCCTTCAGTCAGGGTCAGCATCAATGTAGGACCCTGCACAGGGAGAAGGGTTGGTGTGTGGCAGAAGTGATGGTGCAACAGGGATCCCCAGGGGCTTGGGATGGTGTCAATGGGGTCTGGGTGCTGCCAGGGTCTGCCCAGCTGAAGGGATCACAGGAACTATCTATTCTTGGGTGTCAGAATTGGGGCAGGGGTCTTGCAGGGGTCAGCAGTGCTGGAGGGGAAGGGTGGGCTAGAGGAATGGGATTGGAGGGGTGGAAGCAAGGGGTGGACTGGGATGAGGTGGGTGCTTTCTCTCCAAGGAGGCTGGGGGGCTCAGGCCAGGAGCAGCTTCCATTCTGCCCAGGGAGCAGGAAGAATCGTCCGCCAGGAGAGAGAGCATGACCAAACAGGTGATGGAGAGTCTGGAGGACCTGTGAGATTGGGTGACATGGGCCTGTGTGCCTCCCTGTGCCCTCCCCTGTCCCTATCCTGCTGGGCTCCAAGTGGGTGCTGTCTCTCTGGGCCTCCCCTGCCTGTCCCTGTCCCTCCTCTAGAAGCCACCATGGCAGCCCTGGTCTGTGGTGGAGAGAGAGAAGGGAGTATCTCCAGGTCCACCATCCCTGTCCATGTACCCCGTCAGGTTACAACAGGGTTGGGGCAGTGCTGGACTGCTCCACACCTGAAAGGGGTGGTTTTCCCTTGGGAAATAAGGGGAAAGCAGCCCAGACTCCTTTGTCTTTTCCCTGATGGCTGTGTCTCCCTTGACAGGGTCCTTCTCCACTCAGCCGTTCCTTGCTGGCAGTGCTCATGTAGTCCCTGTGCTCAAGTTGTCACATGCTGAGGAGGATGAGGGTGTGTCATCCCTGTGCTTTTAGTCCTTACCCCCCTTTTTCTGTGCTCCATGTGTGTAGTGACTGCTCATGTGTTGTGCTGTCTCTCAGGGCAGGACAGGCAGATCACGCTCGACAGTGATGACCTCGGGTATGACAGCATGGATGGAGAGGAGGAGGATTATGATGAGGTCCTGGAGAGGGACAGCTTGGAGCAGCCCGCAGTGGATGGTGAGCTTCCCTGCAGTCACTTGGCACTGATCTACTGGGGGAAACCATGGAGCTGCCCCAGGTTTTGCTGGGGTGGTGTCTTTGCATCCAGCTGGGCAGTGGGTCCCTGTGCCATCTGTCTGGGGGGATTTGGGATTTCCTGCCCTATCACTGGTACTTGGGAGGGTTGTACTTTCTCTATCACTGTGTTCCCCACACCGTGCAGACTTGTGCTCTATCCCCCTCACCAAAGCCATCACCAGCAGTGATGCATCACTACATTTCAGAAGTCTAATACCCGTTTATTACAACAGCACACTGTCTTTTATACCTGCTACACAGTTTACATTTTCTTCATTGGTTACAATTAGTCAACATAATGATCATTAATGGAACACCCCTATTCTTTCCCAGAATCTTTCTAAAAATACTTTCCACAGCTGCAGGTTTCTTCTTGCTTATCTTCTTCTTCTCTTCTTGGTCTACAGGCCAATGGCCTTGGTCAGAGACTACTTCTCAAAACAAACCTCATTCATTAACCCTCTCTAGCCCACAGACCAGCTGTGGGTCCTACTATATCCTGGGAGACAGCTTGCCCAGAGTGGTGTCTCCTGCCCCCAATTCCAACACTTGGGCAGAGCACAGAGACATCTCCTCCAGCCAAACCCTTCCCATGCTCAGCCTTCCCCTTCTGGGGATTCCCCTCCTCTGCCAAGTGGGTCTGGCAGCCTCCACCACCGGTGTGCTGCCAGCCCCTGCCTGCCCTCAGCAGCAGGGTTTGTCCCACAGCTGAGCCCTGCAGGCTGCCCCTGGATGAGGGGAACTGCCAGCGCTACACCCTGCGGTGGTACTACAACCAAAGAGTCACCGAGTGCCGGCCCTTCGTCTACAGCGGCTGCCAGGGCAACCTCAACCGCTTCGACAGCAAGGAGGAGTGTGAGCTGCACTGTGGGCAGCGCCCAGGGGCAGGTAGGCAGAGCTTGGCACACCGGCAGATCCAGCAGCATCTCCACCTTGTGCTGTGGACTCAGCAATGCAGAGCTGGGGGTGCAGTGCTGGTCCCCCACATCAGCTCTGACAGCGCCTTGCTTCTCTCCGCAGATTCCCGTGGCGATGCCGGCAGCAAGGTGGGAGGGCAGCCAAAGCTGTAGGTGCAGGCAGTGTCCTGGCAGGCAGGGCTGCCTGGAAGTGGGGCCCAGCTGCCGCCCTGCCCGGGGCTGGGCTGCCCATGGTGGCTGTGGCCATGTACCCACCAGCCCCAGCAGGAACCTGGTGCTATTTCTAACCTGTCTTTATGCTGCTCATGGGTTTTTCATTGCCTATCAGTTTATTGTCATTAAGGTGAAATTTATATCAAATGGGAAACTGCCTCCCACCAAGGCTCTGAAACCCCTTTCCCACTGGGCTATTCTCAGTTTGATTTTTTAAATTATTTGTTGCCAACAGAATGGCTCTTAGCCCTGTTCCCTCTCTCTGGAAGCAAAGTTGGGACTTGGCACAGTTGGGCTCCCTCCCCTCCCATTATACCCTTGTACCTTTTCCTGCCCCCCAAACTCCCTCTCTGCTCTGTGCTCTCTGCTGGGAGAGCTGCCCACATCCTTGTGCCAGGCAATGCCTCCCTGCACAACATCCCTCACCCTCACCCTGCAATGAGCTCCATCTGAATAAATTTCACCTTAACCTCAACTAGGGCCCAGTTCCCCTTTTGTGGCTGCAATGGTTTGGCAGTGACCTGTGGGAAGACTGGAGGCTCTTGCCATGTGCTACCCTTCAGCTCACAAGCCTGCCAGCAGCACCTTTCTTTAATCTGGGGTATCTCACCTGCACCCCCAGGCCTGTCAGGGAAACCCTGAGGATGGTGCTATGTTAGAAGAAGTTCCTGCTCGTCCACGCTTATTCTCAAAGGCTTTGTGAAAGTGATGTTGGCTGCCAGAGTGGCAGCCCCTGCTTCCCCCCATGCCCAGGGGTGAGTAGGGAATGCCCTTCACTGTCCCACAGCCCCAGGGGCTGCCAGGTGGGCTTTGTGGCCCCCACACGTACTGCTGTTCTCTGTGTATATCTATATACAAATGTATATGTGTACCAATGCAGGGGGATGTGTATTAAAGCTGTGCTCACAGGGAGATGTCACACTTCTTGGCATGTTGCTGGAGATGCCTGTGGAGTCTGGGGACAGCTCTTGACTCATGCATGCCCCCTGCCCGCCCCAGCTGGGCTGCCCTTTCCAGCTGCCCACTGCTGGCATTGCTGGCTGGGGTTCCTCACCCTTTCCAGGGAGACCAGTGCCCAGCACGTGCCCAGCTGATGCAAGCCAGGCCATGACCCCCTGTCCAGGCCCTGACGTGTTGGCACGTGGGTCTGTGGTGCTGCATGATGTACTGTGTGAATCACTGCTGCCAGCTAATTTTGGCTACTGGGTGTGAGTTCCTGGCTGTCCCTGGGAAGAGGAACAGAGCTGGCATTATTTCCATTCCCTGCCATCCCGGGGAGGGTGGCATAGGATGGGTCACCCAGCGGTTCAGACCACAGGGGTGGGCAGAACCCCAGTGGTCTGAACCCTGGGCACCCTGACTCCTGTCCCTGGCCAGCCCATAGGGCTGAGCACCCACAACTCACCTCATGGTGAGGCTGGGTGGCCCCCCAGCCTAAGAGCCATGGGGTGCTCCCACAGTCTCTAAGGGGGGAACTTTGGAGCAAATTCCTTGTATATGGGGCTCACCCCACAGCAATGCCTACAGGCTGATACCCACCTTGGGCAGCTGGTAGAGGGCCTGGGCCAGGCTGGACTGGTGCAGCTGCCTGCAAATAAGTAGTGTCCCAGTTGGAATGCATTAAGGTGAGCTGCAAGCCACTGGTATCCTGCAAATCAGTGGCCAAAGCAGTGCTTGAGTTTGGTACAGCAGGGAGGTGACATGTCTCTAGATAGGTCCTCCATGTGGCCAGGGAGTCTGTCAGGACACAGTGCCAAACCTGTACCAGGAGCTGTCCAGGGGCCTTGTGAGGCACAATGCTCAGAGGGCTGCCCATGATCCCTGTCTGGCAGCAATATGCAAGTTCTCTCCCTCCCCTAAGTGATTACCAAGCCTGACAGGAGCAGGGAGGCCTAATTAGATGGAGAAAAAACATCTTGCAAGTCAAACATGAAACAATTTCAGCTGAGCTGTCCCAGGTTCCTGGAATCCCCTCCAAATGCAGCTGGTGGAGCTACAAGGGGGCACACACCCACTCACATCCCAGGATGACTTCATCTGCTATTAGGCAAAATGTATTAAAAACATTTTCACACACTGCCCCCCCACCTTCCCTCCGTCACCATCACCCCCTCTGCGGGTCAGAGGTGGAGCTGGGACAGGATAAGAGCCAGGGCTTGGCAGGGAGAAGAATAAATCCCCAGCTTGTGGTCCCTTCACTCTGGGAGCACTGCCTGAACATCGAGGAGACGAGGACCTGCTGCAAATGGTGAGGCTGTGCCCTCAGTGGTACTTTTCAGGGATTTTTAGCTGGGAAATAGGTTGTAGGGGGTTAGATGCTTTTCATTCCTCACTTTGCAGTGAGTTAACAGCCTTTGGCTGTCTACTCTGGTACTTTCCAAAGGGTTTTACCCCAGAGATACCCTGCTGGGTGACTGATTTTGGGGAGAGGCAGCTATAAAGCAGGATTTGTGCAGCAGTGTCCCTGCACCTGCTCTGACCCCCACCCCACATCCCAGCACCGTGACCCCCACCCTGTAGCACAGCATCCTGCAATCCCTGGGGCCCTCCCTGTGACCAGGGTGAGGGATGGGGCGGAAAAAGTTGCTGAGGCTTGACACAACTCAGGACATGTGGCCAGCCTCCAGCCCTTGTCACCCCACTGTGATCAATATGCTGTGTATTTTACTCCAGGTGGCTCGTGTCCCTCCTTGGTGGGTGGCTTTTGCCCCTAAGAGCACAGCAACACAATGGGGAATGGCAGCTGCCAGGGAAGGTGTGGGAGGAAGAAAGCCCCATAGCCTGCCCAGCCCTGAAACCCCAAGCATTTCCCTGGTCAAAGGGCAGGAATGGGTTGGAGAGCAGCCACAGTACCATGGCAGCCACCCTCCTGAGCAGGATTGTCTCCTTCCCTGGGTGACAAAGGGCTGAAGGGTGTGAAACTGAGGGCACAGCTAGCATCTGGCCAGGGGCTGTGTGAAAGGACAAGGACACCCAGGTGATTTGTTTCTCATGTCCCCTTCAGCCTCCCCAAAACTCCCCACCCTGTTCAAGAAGGTTAAAATCAGAGTGGAATAATGAAGGGTTCCGGAAACGAGGGTGAAGCCCCACCAGCTGGTGCAGGGAGTGGAGGGGTTCTGTGGGTGACAGCCTGGTGGGGACGTGCCCTGCCTGGGGGGCTGTGGAGCCTTGATAGGGTTTTCAGGGTGATGCTCAGCACCAGCCGCGTGCTCCCTGCAGGCACTCCTGGCCACGCTGCGAGGCAGGATGCTGCTGTCCTTCCTGGTGGTCCTCGGGGCACCAACGAGAGCCTGGAAGGGACCGAGCCGTGAGCGGCTCCCGCCAGCCCCCCGAGCTGTGGATGGAGGGAAGCTGATGAGGCAGGAAACCACCAGCAATAACAAGATGCTGCCAGGTGTCTCCAAAATGAGGAGGGGTGACGATGGCTCTGGGGCAGGGTCTCATCTGGACAAAGCCAGCCTGCCACTGCTAGAGGGATCAGAAAGACAAGCACTGCCCTCGCTGATGAGCCCAGCCACGAAGAGAGATGCTCCCAGGAAAAAGGGGAGGAAGGTGTCCCTGTCACTCGATGTCGACATTCACTTACTGAAAATCCTGCTCGACCTGGCCAGAGAGAAGGAACTGCAGGCCAAGGCAGCTGCCAATGCCGAGCTGATGGCTCGCCTGGGGCGCAGGAGATGAACTGTCCTGGCTGGGATACAGCAGGGCTGGAGGGGGCAGCCGGGCTGCCTGGAGCAGGGGTGGAGGGAAGCATGGAGCAGCATCGGTGTGACTGCAGGGGACTGTGGACATGGCACCTCATCCCCTCAGTCCCAGTGCTCGTGGCACAAGCAGCAGCCATGGGAGGATTTGGTTTAATGACTATCACCTCAGCACCACTGGAGAAGAGACAGCTGGGTTTACCTTGGCCAGTGCTTGAGCACAGCTGGTCACAGCCCCAGGCACTACAGGGTTTTCTATGCTTGGCTTTGCTCCCTGCTCATCCACCCCCGAGATGTCTCCAAAGAGGCTGCATCCAGCCAGGCAGCTTTTCCTAAGTGCTTCTTCTCTCTGGGTGACTGAAGCACACAAAATCCTCCACAAAGCTTGGCCAAGCCTCAAAGCTGGAGTTCTTAGTGAGCGTACACAATAAAATGTGGCATCAAACAAACTTGTTGTGTTTTATACCTGTTCTGCACCCCTTTACATTCCCATTTTGTGTTCCCTTTCCCCAGAGATGCTGTGAGGGCTCAGCTGGGGCCAGCACAGGAGGTCACTAAATTCCAAATGAGGGGTGTCAGACCTTGCACCAGCAGCGGAGCCAGCCCCTGGCCCAGGGAGTCCACAGCAGCTCTGGGCCAACAGGGCAATCGTGTTGTGCCATTGGAGCTGCTGCCTTCAGCACAGCTGGGAGATAAGAGCAGTGCAGAGCAGAGCAGAGTGCGGCTGCCCCGTGCAAAGTACAGGGTGGTGCAGGCGAGTCAGAGGCTGGGAGATACCTTCAGGGGGACAACTGGAGCTAGTGGGGGACACGGCCATGCTCTTCGAAGAGTATCTGCAGCAGGGTGAGTGAGCCCTTCACTGTGGAGCAGGCACTGGCTTTGGGAAAGGGGAAGAAGCAACTGAGGTGAGTGACCCCACAGTCAATGGGAGGGACAGATCTCAGACGGGGATGTGGCAGCAGATGGTGGTTGGGGTGAGGTGGCAAGGTGGGTGCCATCCCTGCTTGACCTGAGGCTCAGGTGATGCACGGCAGTGCCTGGCCTCTTGAGATACCCCCCCTGCACCCAACGGGTGTGTGATATGGGGCTGAGCCAGGAGTTTGTGGTCCAGGGTAGAGACAGGGTGCCAGGGGGACAGGGGTCATAGGAAGACCTGCTAGAGCTAGTTCATCCAAGTGTCAGCAATGTTGACAGGGCAAGCGACCTGAGTGACAACTGGGCATCCCCCAGAAAGGGGTTGTCCCCTGCCATCCCCAATTGCTCCTTTGACGCTGAGCCTGCCAAGATCTTCTCCTTTCCATGTCCTGCCCCAATGTCTCATCTGTCCTCGCCCAGACCCAGCGTGCACCCATGCTTCAGCCCCCTCTGCCCCGAGTGTCACCACATCTCCTCAGTGCCCTTCCTCTGCCTAGCTCAGGGATCTCAGTGCCACTCCCCATCACCAATGTTTCCCCTAGTACCAGTGCCTCCAGCCCCAGGCCCTGTGCTGTCGCCAGCCCTAGGGTACCGTGCAGTGTCCCAGTGTCCCAGGCAGTCACAGTGTCCCCCTGTCCCTCCAGTGCTGACCCCGACCCCCGACCCCCGACAGCCCCAGCCCCGCCCCCTCGTCTCCGCCAATCAGATCGCGCCGTTGCCGATTGGCCCCAACCCCTCCCTGTCAGTCACGGTCCCGCGCCACGCCTTGCGCACGTCTGGGGGGCGGTCCTGCGCCTGCGCAGTGCGGCGGCCGCAGTGCCAGTGACAGGCTGGCAGGAAGGGGCGGGGGCAGGAAGGGGCGGGGGCGGTGCCGGGACCAGGACCAGGACCAGGATTGGGACCAGGATCTAGGTTGGGAGTGCCACTGCTACGGGACGGGAGGGCTGCAGCGACGGGCCGCTCGGTAGCACCATGCTGAAGAAGTTCGACAAGAAGGACGAGGAGTCGGGTGAGGGGAGGCCGGGGATGCTGTGAGGGGAGGGACCCCTCTATGGGTACGGAGGGGATTGGTGAGGGGGGACCCCTTCGTGGCTACAGGGAAAGCTGTGAGGAAAGAGACCGCTCCTGTGGAAATGAGGGGATCTGTGAGGGGGGCACTCCCAAGGGAGCTGGAGGGGAAGTTCGGTGCCAGCTTGGCAGTAGGGGCTTGCTGGTGTGCATGGAACGCAGTGGGAAGCCCTATGGGGACACTATAGAAGCACTATGGGAGCACTAGAGCAGTCTGCTCCTCCTTCTCGCAGCTGTAGCCAGAGCTGAACTGGTTGCATCGGCACAGCACACCGAGGTTACCTGCCACATCACCAGGTGTAGAGCCTGAGACTAAATATTAACCATATTAGCCCTGTTCACGGTTGCTCAGATCTCTATAGCCAGGTAGAATCCAACTGATTTTCTGTCCCCACAATCATTGCTACTTTCAATGGATCAGAGAATCTGAGAGCACCAAGGAAATATGAAGTGATTGCCTGACTTTTCAAAACTTTAGGCAGGTTAGTAAGGAAGAGGTTGATATTTTATGTGGTGTGTAATTCAGGTGGAAGCAATGCATCGTAAGATAGTGTTTCCTTTCATGGTTTAGCTTTGTGGTATCTTTTTCATCTTCCTATGAAGCTCTCTACACAGCTTGCACTTCATAGCAAATCCATGTGTCCTGCAGCAAATTGATTCAGCTTACATCTTGGTGATCTGTGTGACTGTGCTTGCTTTTTATCTTAAAGTGCATTAAATGCTTTGCCCTTGTTTCCCTTTTCCAAGGCCTCCAGTGACACCTTGACAAGCAGAGAATTTAGTGAGGCAGCTGTTGGAGGGGAATAGCTCTTGGCTTTAATTTTGGGGCTGTTTTTCACTTGCACCTGCCACACCCATCAAGGTATTGACATTACCTGTGGCTAGGGCTGGTAGGAGATACAAGTATTCAGTTAATTGGCTTCTATGTCTTCGCTTTCCATTAATGGTTTTGCTAGCCTTGGATGACCTGCTCCCACTCCCTTTGACATGTTATTTTTGCCAAAAAATTGTGTTTCTCTACAAATCAGAATAAATTATTGTTAGTTATCCAATATAAGGAACTTTATGAACACACAACCTCTACCCTCCCTGCATCTTTCTCCCTCTCTATGGAACAAAACTGATGCAGTGTGCTGTGAGGACTGAGACCCCATGTACAATGTATTTCTAGATCCTTAGTGCTATGAAAGATGAAGAGATGATGCTGTGTTGTTCATGGCTGATTTAAACATTGTAGACATGCTGGACCATGGAAATACTGGGCTGCTAGGCAGGGTTTTTGGAACACATTTGCATACTTACATTAGAACTGGTTCATACTAAAGACATTTTTCCTCTTTCCCCGTTTTTTGTTCTACCTCTTCAACCTCACATAAGTGTCTGTGTTTTGTTCAGCTACCTGCTGCCTTTGCAAACTTCTCCTGAGCCAGAGGAGGGCATTTTATGAACCAGGAAGGAGCCAGAGTGCAGATTTTGTATGTAAGGCTTACTCTAGAAAGGGCTTCTGACAGCAGCCTAGGATGCTTCAAACTTGGGTCAGGTCAGATTTTGGCCCAGGAGATGTTCTTTCTAGTGAACTAGGCTTTGGAACAAACACTGGAACAACCCTGAAGAAGGCTGCATTTTGTCCTAGGGCCAGGTTGAACATAGCTTCTAATTAAAACCTGCTTATTGATAACTAGCAGCTTTTGAGAAGCTGCAGCTCACACATGCTTGGAAGGCAATCTAACAGAGACCATGCAGAATGATAATGCTTTTCCCTCTCATTATTTAATCCTTAATTGCTGGGAGTTGTAATTATTTAGTATAATTTACTTTGTTAAGTAGAACAATGGAAGTTACTTGTGTCCAGCCTATCTAGTCTTGTTCTCTTAATTAGCGATAGAGCCAAAAATACTTTACTGGTGGATTCTTGGTTGGTTTATATGGGAGGGATAAAACACTCCTGACTCACCAGTCTGGCAAGCGATATCTTTCTGTCTAAGCTTTTGTTTCTAGGCCTATTGATGCTCTAACTGCCAGCAAGCTTCCAGTCCAGGGGTGGAAATAGGTCTTTGGGGATACAATGGAGCACAGTTATTTTACAGCTGATCAGTCTACCTCAGCTCACAGTCAGTTACTTCTGGAGGGGGTGGCAAATTGAAAAATGCCCTGCTCTGCCTTCCCTGACTGCCATGAAGCCATCCAATTAATTTTACTTCAGGAAGGGTGCTCTGATTGCTTGGTGTTCATGAAGAAAATCACCCCAAAATGCTCAGACTGTTTTTAAAGAATGGATATGGTTAAAAAGTTGCTTTCTCGTGGCACTATCCCTGGAGAGATTTTTACTCTCTTTGTTTTGCAGGTGGGAGTTCCAACCCATTCCAGCACCTGGAGAAGAGTGCAGTCTTGCAAGAGGTAAATCTTCAGACCATCTCCTCTGTGTACCACACTGGATAGAGTCTCTCCCTCTCTTGAGTAGGTCACTGGAGAACTTCAGCAAGGAAATGAGGGTTTGCTACAGTCCTGCTTGCTCTGAAAGAAATGGGCAACAGTTCTTATTTTATTATTGGACAGATGAAGGGAGAAGGTTGAAATGGTCTCTGTAACAAATTAAAGACTGTGAACTATAAATAGTAATAAAAGGAATAAAATTATCTTGGAAAGCTCACCCCCAAATCAGGAAGACTGGGAAATTTGCCTTGGACATCCCAAATGTCTTGTGGATGACAAAATTAATGAGAGAAGTATGAGTGGTTATTAAATAGTTTTATGAATTTTCTCTGAAGAAATGCCATTCTTTTCAAGAGCAGGTGAACATTTCAATCCCTGGCCCCTGTTGTTTCAGCATACTCTGTTTCCTTGTGAGGTTGGGAATGGTGTTGGCTCCTGTAGCCTCAGTGAGCTCAAGTTTATCTGTCACGAGAGTGGTGTTTTAGCTAGCACACAATGCACACCTGTGTGGGTGAAAGTGTGATGAGAATTTAGCCTTTAAACCTTTATTGCTCGTGGATTTGT